CACAATCACGGTCGACCGCCACGCCACCTGCGGTCGACCGCGCAGTACCCAAAAGCTCTCCTAGACTTATCCAATGTAGTCAACTCCATACACTAGTCGAATATATAATTCTTCACCTCGAATCTACACCCCATATATATGTTATCCTATAAAGGGCGTTCTAAAGGAATTTTTGTTTCGATTGTATATCGATCCTACCCGTTTCGAAAGATCAGGTAGTAATCAGGGCAATTTTAATCAGACATTTTGTCAAACAAGTAGACGACTCATATCCATTCACACATACAAGTTCTAAAATATCTCATTGGTAATCCCACAACGGAAAATTAATATATTGTAAGAGGGTTTAAATAATGGTCTTTGAGAGTCAAATTTTTGATAGGAAATTGAGCTAAATCATGTGGTGCGTCAACGATGGACGAAATGAAAGATCCCTAGATTTCCGCAAAAAAAAAAAATTAACAACTAGCAGAACAATTAGTTGTGGTTGTAGGCTAGTAACGGGCTTAAATGAGCTTGTCAAGATGTATATCTAAAAATTCCGTCTAAAATATTTCGTCTACGATGTAAGCTTGTCAACACCTATATCTAATATTTTAATCAATCACGTCAAATTCAGACCATATCTGTTCCTCGCTAAAAGTCGAAAGAAATACAATCCTATCCTGTTGCGATTTTTTTCTTTTTCTTTCTACGAATTCTTTATTCGTGATTATATTTCTCGATTCTCCTAATTAAAAAAAAAACTAAAACTACTGTGGGCCACCACCCTCTAAATCACTCTACCGAGGCGCTGCCTCCAACCACCGTCAAATTTCATTGCATCAAGTAGTGCCCTTAACCCATCAACCACCTCTTAAACTTCATCTCATCTTAAAAACCTCATCTTTTATTATTATTATTTTTAATTGAAATATATGAATTAACTAGATGTTTTTTGTCATTGAAACTAAAGTTTAGTGTGAAAAATACAAATTCGGAGATTAGTTTGATTTAGATTAGATTAAAATTGGTATATTGCTAAGAAATTTAGCACAAATTTGATCATAGACAATTTTAGTTCGATGAAAAAATATCGAGTAAAACTCAGTTAGTTTATTTTATAGATAGAAGAAACTTTAGTAAATTGGAGCATGTAATTTAGTGATTGATGCATAAATATATAGTAATGATTCAAGTATTCATGAACACATTTTTTATTATGAATTTATTATACACTATTCAAGCACAATCTATGCCACAAATGCCTGTGAATATAGCTTAGAGTGATGGGATTGAGCAAGTTTTAGGATATGGTGTTGGAATAAATATTGGTAACTTTACAAATGAGAGGACTCCTATACATGCTGAGCAGAGGAATCAAATGGAAAAAAGAGAAATCTTGAGCTAAGGAAATGTTTCAGCTAGAAAAAATGTTGTGCATATTGTGCATGTTTCACAATCAGATTCTGATACTCATACACACTCCGGAAAATCTTAGATGCTAATGCAAAGGGGAAAAAAGTAAAAAGAGGCTCTCACCTATTAATTCCTTCTCCCTACTAGCTGGAATAGTATGTGATCTAGATCCCTCTACAATGGATAGAGGGGATCAAACCTTATAAATTTTTCTTTTTGGAATGTTAGGGGACTAAACAAGTCCTCTAAACAATACCTAATCAGGCAGCATATTTCACAGTATCATCTCTCTTTCATTGTCTTGCTAGAAACAAAAGTAAAGGAGGTTAAAATTCCAGCTATAACAAAGAAAATTACCACTAATTGGAAATGTATCTCAAATGTATCAAGCGCAGAATAGGCAAGAATACTGATTTTATGGGATCCTGATTTAATGAATATACAAGTTGATTACATTTCTCCTCAGCATATAACCTGCACTGTCAAAACTATGGATGGGAGGGTAAATTGTATTCTATCTTCTATCTATAGTTTTAATCATCAGGATTCAAGAAAGGCTCTATGGACTGAGCTCCTCCATGTGCATCAGACTGTTGGAAATACACCAGGGCTTTTATGTAGGGATTTCAACACTATGATCAATAATGATGAAAAGCTAGGAGGAATTGCACTTACAGATGCTGATACGAAAGACTTTAATTCTTTCATTAAAGACAGCCATCTCTTGCACCTAAAAACATTGGGTTGTTTTTTTACCTGGAACAACAAACAAGACCATGATGCCAGGGTTTGGTGTAGGTTAGATAGGGCTCTTGTAAATGACTCCTGGATCCATAAGTATAACTCTAGTCATGTGGAATTCTTGCTTCCAAACTTCTCAGATCATTCTCATGCATTAGTTTCTATATATGAGGAGGATATGCAAGGTAAAAAGCCTTTTAAGTTTTTTAATATGTGGATTAATCACATCAACTACCTGCCTACAATATCTTTAATATGGCAGAGGCAAATTGAAGGGTTCAAAATGTATTCAGTTGTTACAAAACTCAAACTGCTGAGGGGAGCTCTAAAGGATTTAAATAGAAAACATTATGGAAATATTAGTGAACAAGTAGAAAGAGCTAAATATGCAGTGGAGGAAGTTCAAAATAAGCTACAAGAGGATCTTCTCAATCCTGGTCTTATCAAACAGGAAAAAAATTGCTTGTCTGCTTATAATAAACTCTTGCAATGTGAGTTATCTTTTTTCCAGCAAAAATCAAGAATTCATTGGAGCATTAAAGGAGATAGATGTACAAGTTATTTTCATTCTATTATCAAAGCCAATAGGCACCAGAACAGAATTCTAGTTCTCACAAACAGCATGGGTGAGAGAATTACTGAGGGTGGGGAGATTGCAAATGAACTTGTCTCTTACTTCAAAAATCTTATGGGTACAGCAAGTGCAACATCTCCTCCGGAAATCAGGATTATTAAGAATGGTCCTTGTTTGAGTGAAAATCATATAAAGAACATTTCTTCACCAGTCACAAAAGATGAGATTAAGAGGGTTGTTTTCTCCATGGCAGATAATAAGTCCCTAGGACCAGATGACTATGGTGCTTCTTTCTTTAAGTCATCATGGTCTACTATAGGAGATAAAGTTACACTTGCAGTTGAAGAGTTTTTTAGCACAGGATAATTACTAGGTGCCATAAACTCTACTTCTATTACACTAATCCCTAAGGTATCCTGTCCAAACACTCCTACAGATTTCAGACCAATTTCATGTTGCAACTGCCTATATAAAATTATTTCAAAACTGTCCAAACACTCCTACAGATTTCAGACCAATTTCATGTTGCAACTGCCTATATAAAATTATTTCAAAAATCCTTGCAAATAGGATTCAATCAGTCATCAATTTCATGTTGCAACTGCCTATATAAAATTATTTCAAAAATCCTTGCAAATAGGATTCAATCAGTCATAGGGTATCTCATTAGTGAAGCACAAAGTGCTTTTGTAAAAGGAAGACACATAACAAACAACATTCTGTTAGCCCATGAATTGGTTAAAAACTATGAAAGGAAGCACATCTTGTTGGTCTCTGTGTTTTGATGATGTTTAACAAATAATTTATATCTAATATTATTTGTCTAGTGTTTGCGTCTTGTATTCATTGTAGACAAACAATAAATTGGAGGATGGATGGAATTACACATTCACGATGATATCCAATGGAGGTTGGCAGAATTGTGGAGTGAAGCATATGCAATTCAAGTTAAAGATTTAAGTTCAAACTCCATCCGCAAGTGTACAAAGATAGAGCTTCGTTGAAGATCACAAGCATGGGTAAATTTGGTTTTAGGTTTTATATTATGTGTGTTAGTACTTTAAGCTCAATCATATACATACATACACGTTTTAGTTTCGTATATATACAGTTATATATATACATATATATTTTGGTTTGATAGTTTTTAAGTTTTACTATGAAACAATTAAATACAATTGAAAATATATTTCTTGTTTCATACTTATATGCATATATATGATTTCATCAATATTAATTTTATTTAGTTCAATGAAATCATGTTTTAGTGCATTATATATTAATTTTATTTAGTTCAATGAAATCATGTTTTAGTGCATTATATGTGTATTTTGATAAAATACTATAGTCATTATTTATATACTTCATAACAATAGTTTACATCTTTCTTCAAGTCAATAAAATTATTTTGTATTGTTTCAAAACATGGTTAAGCTAAAATGTCAAAATTCATATGTTCACATTTTCATGTTTTGGACTATTTTGCAAAATAATGATATTTTTTATTTGGGAGGTCCTTTTTGAAAACCAATTTCTATAGCATGTGTATTATCATATCTACAATCATTTTCCAAAGTTTTATATTTTTTGGAATTTATTTGATATTTTTAAACAGGGTTTTAAAATCAAAAAACTATTTATAAACTTGGAATTACATATGTCAGTTTGCGGTCGACCGTCACAGTCAACCGTCCTTGAGTCCAGAGATCCAGGATAGTTTTCAGAGGCTCGTGGTCGATCGTGGCGGTCGATCGGATGTAGTCCAGAGAGTTTCGTGGTCGACCGCCACGGTCAGTTTTATATTTTTTGGAATTTATTTGATATTTTTAAACAGGGTTTTAAAATCAAAAAACTATTTATAAACTTGGAATTACATATGTCAGTTTGCGGTCGACCGTCACAGTCAACCGTCCTTGAGTCCAGAGATCCAGGATAGTTTTCAGAGGCTCGTGGTCGATCGTGGCGGTCGATCGGATGTAGTCCAGAGAGTTTCGTGGTCGACCGCCACGGTCGACCGTCTGTTATCCAGAGCCAAACCCTGGCCTTTTTGCTGCTTGTGGTCGACCGTGAATTTTCCACGATCGACCGTTGAACTATCATTCAGTCTCTAACGGCTAGTTCCAGCTGAGATTGTCTGAGGACTTTTTGGTCTTTTCTGTTAGGTTTTTGGCTGAGATTTTGGGAGTCTATATATACCCCCTTGCTCTCATCTTTCATAAATAACTAAGAGAATGTTTTAAAGAAGTTTTAAAAAAGTTTAAGTTTGTTTTAAGTTTGGGGTTTGCTTTTACAAAGAGGAGCTTACATCAATTGTTGAGGAGTTCATCTTCAATATCTCATCATCCTCTCTTTGTGTTTATAGAGAAGTTTTCTTAACTCAATTTCCTAACATTTTTACTATTGTATTTCATATCAATTTTATTGCTAGTTCTTCTTGAGTTAGATTTTATTTATTCTCATTGTTACACACACCCACATAAGTTTATCGTATTTTCATACATAGTATATTTGGGTTGGTGAGAGTTGTAACAATTGAGTGTGAGCTTTCATTGTGTTCTCATCCATATTAGAGAACAATCATTTGTTGTATTGTGCTTATTTTGAGGTTCACCTTGTAATATACTTGTACACCGAGAGAAGTGTGTGGTGTGAGTCGGGGATCGGCCAAAGAGGAGTGGTGTCGGTTGATGAACCTAGGGGGAGGTTATATCTGAGCACTTGAGGGAGACACGTCTAGATCCAACACTTGAGAGGGTGTAGAGTGGGGTTGTAAGAGTGTTGATTGTAAAGTTTTCGGTTAGCTAGAAAACCGAGTGTGAGGTATAAAGATTATTCGGATGAATGTAGAAAACCCGATTGTGATAGTGGATTTCTCCCCGGGAGTGGGGAGCGGAGATGTAGGACGGAAGGTCCGAACTCCGTGATCATTTGATTATGTTTGAGTGTGCTTTGGTGTTTATTCTTATTTGTGCTCATTTCTCATATCACCATTGTCTCATTATTTAGTTTGCCCACTATCTAGTTTCAAATTGTTTACCCTTGTGTTAGTTTCATATCCTTGCATATATATCTCATAGTATATCTCATTGCTAGGATATATTACTTTGTTCATATTGCATATTCTTGCTCATAATTAGTTGTATATCTATCTTGTAATAATATATTTGTTAATAAATTTTAATTAGCATATAATCGGATTAGATTAGCAATAGACCCTAATCATCCCCCCTCTAGGGTGTAACAATTGGTATCAGAGCTTGATGCTCTTTGATTTAAGGTATAATCGCCTTGAGTTAAAGATCCAAGTTATCTCATTTTTGTGCTAATCTAGTGTTGTGATTTTATTGTTATCTTGCTTGCATACATATGAATATTATGGACATGCATAGGTGCTAATCTAGTGTTGTGATTTTATTGTTATCTTGCTTGCATACATATGAATATTATGGACATGCATAGTGCACCTAGTTTAGGTTATGCCATATTGTTATCTTGCTTGCATACATATGAATATTATGGACATGCATAGTGCACCTAGTTTAGGTTATGCCATTAATATTGCTCCTACATTAGACAATTTCCCCTATGCTCAATGGTGTGTTAGATTTAAGCTATTTGTTAGATCTAAACATTCTGATTTATGAGAAATTATTGATGATGCTTATATTGTGCCCACTTTGGAGAAATCCAAGTGGAATAAAAATAATCATCGTATGTTTACAATGAACAATATTTTGTTAGAATATTTGCTAAATGCTCTTGATTCATCTATGCCTAACAAGTTTGTTCATTTTAATAGTGCTTACACCTTAAGTAAACTTATTGAAGTACATCAAGGGGACTTGGAGGCGATCCAACAAGCTTTGAAGGCTTCCTCTTCAAGTTCCATTGGAGCATCATGCATACGAGTACTAGACGATAGCCCTAGTGAGGTTTGCGAGTTCGAATCCACTAATGATTTATCTAGTGATGAACTTGCTTGTGCTAGTGAAAAATTATTACATGCCTATAACAAATTACATAAAGATTTTATTAATTTACAAAACAAGCATGAAGATTTGAAATCCGATCATGAGTTGTTAGCATCTAAGTTTGAAACTATTTCTAATAAAAATGTGATCCTTAAAGAAAACAATAAAAAATTAAAATTGGATCATGTTTCTTTAACTTTAAATATTGCTAGTTTAACATATGAAAAAGATAATGCCATGTTAGAAGTAGAGAACATAAAAAATGATACTACTTTTATAAATGATTATTTATGTTCTACTTCTAAAGTTAATGCTAATATGCCTAATGATGAGTTGAACAATGTTAAAAACCGTATTTCCTCTTTAGATTCAACTCTAACTATATGCATTAACAACCACAAGAAGCTTGTGGATATATGTGCCAAGTCTAATGCAAAATCATCCACTCATTATGCACACATATATAGCAAAGTTTACAAGTGCTCCATTTGTGGTTGTAAAGGCCATTTATCTAAATTTTGCTATGATGCACACAAATATAAGAATGCTAAAGCTTATTGTGCATCTCATCAAGTTTCTTCATCATATACACATGTACATTCACACACTCATAAATTTCATCATAAGCATGCTCATGTATTTAAATGTGATCTTTGTGGACGTTTTGGCCATTTGGCAAACTTTTGCTATGATTTGAAAAAGACTTCACTTTTGCCAAATGATTTTAAAAGACCACAAAAGTTTAAGTGTGATCATTGTGGTAGATTTGGTCATTTGACCAAGTTTTGTTTTGATTTGAAGAAAGTTTCCCATTTGCTAAATAATTTTAAAGAACAATCTATTTTTGCAAATGAGTCCCGTGCACAACCGTTTGGTCAACATAAGAAAATGTTTCCTTTTCATTGTACTTATTACAATCGGAAGGGTCATTTGAGTAAGTTTTGTTTTGACCGTGTTAGTGCACCACATGTGTCAAAACAGGATCATAACCCTAGGGCTTTGAGCTTAAAAGATAGGGGTCATGTCCCTAAATCTATTGGTACCAAGAATTCTTGGGTACCGAAACAAATTTGATTTTTAAAATCAAGTATTTTAGTGTTTTTCTTTTTCCTTTTCTTGGTTTTGAAATTTATACTTTAAACTTTTGAACATGAAAACAATTCTTCTTATTGGTCATACTCGTTTGTTTTCATGATTATTGGTTTTTTTTTTTGATGAGAGGTTTGTGTTTATATAACCCTTTATTGGGTCTTTATTCCCAAATCTTGTTTACCGGGTACTAAAAGTCCTTATATGGGTTGTTACAAGCTTAAGAGCTTGATAAATTGTTGCCTCTCTTGTATTTTGTCAAAAATCTTGTTTTGATTTGTTTCTTTGAATTCATTATACTTCACT